CCCACGCTATCGTGGTCTCTCATTAACAGACCGGTGCGGATGAAAAATACGACAACAGGGAAAAAACAGCTTTTCATTGCCACGCTGCACCAATTGAGCACCATTTGCTGCACCGATTCATGCACAAACTAGTGAAACAATTACCGCATCGAATAAGCGACTAAATGGTGCACGAGTTTGTGCACCCATTGGTACTCTATTTGACTCACTGACTGCTGTAGTTAACTTGCTATTAAAAATCAAGTCCCCGTGTTTCGATTTTATTGCTATTGCACTTTTTCAACTCATTTTCACACTCTTTTATATTCAATTGCTTCTCAAGGCCTTGAGAGAATTATCTCGATAGTCCATACGACCACCCGAAGCCGCGACGCCGGGTTAATCAGAGGACGCCGCGTGCGCAGCGCGTGCGGCAGTCCGAGCTTGTTAAAGTATCGAAGAATAATATTTCGAAGGGCAGGGAAGACTCTAACTTGAATGGGATGGCCCTCCCAATGGACGCCTATCTCTTCTGTAAACTGGCTGCAACGTCAATTCATTTTGCGAGAGTGTCGCCATCAGGCCGATTCAGGGCGGAAGGGCCCCAAGTTCACGATCAGTTCAGAAAGCTGAAGCGCTCTCGTCGGTAGTTAGTAACCTGGCAAGGACTAGTGAAGGGATGCCACGGCTCCGGCAATGCTTGCTTTACCACTCCCCTTTGGCTTAACTGCGGCCTTCAACACCGATGCCAAGCTCTACCCAATGATTCCTGACATTTTCAATTCCGTTTGCTTTGGAAAGTCTGCCGGCGATGTGAACGTGCATGACCCAATATTGAACCCGATTTACGATGACATTTAGACCGCTCGCATCAAAGGCGGCACTGGCACTTTAGCTTCCGCGGGTTATGCAACGCAACAAAAAGGGCGCCCGCACTTGGTCCGCCAGATCCACAGATGCCCCATGATTCAGTAGAGTCTCCGCCACAGCTGCGTGACCTTCCCTGGCTGCCCAAACAAGGGGTGTCTGCCCAAACTGAGTGCCACAAAAGTCGTCAGTCAGGAAACTCAATTGCACGCTGAACAGGTGGTGTATGCACAAACAACTGGGCATCGTCGGTGATAGCCCACGTGCGAAAGGGCGCCCAGGGGTTTAGTTAAAGTATCGAAGAATAATATTTCAAAGGGCAGAGAAGACTCTAACTTCAAAGTTGGTCTCAATGGACACTATCTACATCTTCATCGCTGGCTGCCGTCCAGTCATTTACGAGTGTGTGATAATGTCAATGAACAGAAGACAGGGCCAGTTCACACGATTCAAGTTCATCGCCAGGTGGCACCCTCGTCCAGTAGTCAACCAGCGAGATGGGAATGCCGCATTCGCGCAACGCTTAACACTTGCCTTTGAAACAGCACATTCATCCAGTACTTAAGCATCACAATGGCAGTTGATACCCGACATTTTCAATTCCGTTTATACAAGCCACGTCTGCCATGCTGAGCAAATGCATGGCCAATATTGAGTGCCATTTCGTTGTTGGAGCATCACCATCAAGCAGCACAGCACTAGCACAAATGCAGGACGATATGCAACGCAACAATGAGGGCGCCCGCACATTGTCCGCCAGATCCACAGCTGCCCCATGATTCAGTAGAATCTCCGCCACGGCTGTGTGACGTTTTCTCGCTGCCCAAACGAAGGGTGTCTGCCCAAACTGAGTGCCAGATAAGTCGTCAGTCAGGAAACTCAATTGCACGCTGAACAGGTGGTGTATGCACACACAACTGGGTATCGTCGGTGATAGCCCACGTGCGAAAGGGCGCCTGTAGTTTCATTAAAGTATCCGAGAATACTATTTCAAAGGGCAGGGAACACTCTAACTTGAATGTAGTAGACCTCAGTGGACACTATCCACATCTTCATGGCTGGCTGCCGTTCAGTCATTTACGAATGTGTGATAATGGCAAATGAACGGAAGACAGGGCCAGTTCACACGAATCAATTCATCGCCAGGCGGCACCCTCGTCCAGTAGTTAACCAGCGAGATGGGAATGCCACATTCGCGAAACGCTTAACACTGGCCTTTGAAACAGCACATTCATCCAGTACTTAGCATCACAATGGCAGTTCACACCCGACATTTTCAATTCCGTTTACAGAAGCCACGTCTACCATGCTGAGCAAATGCATGGCCAATATTGAGCGCCATTTCGCTGTTGGAGCAGTACCAACAAGCACAGCACTAGCACACATGCGGGGCAATACGCAACGCAACAACAAGGGCGCCCGCACCTGGTCCGCCAGATCCACAGCTGCCCCATGATTCAGTAGAGTCTCCGCCACAGCTGCGTGACCTTCCCTGGTTGCCCAAACAAGGGGTGTCCGCCCAAACTGAGTGCCAGAAAAGTCGTCAGTCAGGAAACTCAATTGCACGCTGAACAGGTGGTGTATGCACAAACAACTGGGTATCGTCGGTGATAGCCCACGTGCGAAAGGGCGCCCAAGGGTTTGATTAAAGTATCGAAGAATAATATTTCGAAGGGCAGGGAAGACTCTAACTTGAATGCAGTTGGCCTCAATGGACACTATCTACATCTTCATCGCTGGCTGCCGTCCAGTCATTTACGAGTGTGTCATCATGTCAAATGAACAGAAGACAGGGCCAGTTCACACGATTCAAGTTCATCGCCAGGCGGCACCCTCGTCCAGTAGTTAACCAGCGAGATGGGAATGCCACATTCGCGCAACGCTTAACACTTGCCTTTCAAACAGCACATTCATCCAGTACTTAAGCATCACAATGGCAGTTGATACCCGACATTTTCAATTCCGTTTACACAAGCCACGTCTGCCATGCTGAGCAAATGCATGGCCAATATTGAGTGCCATTTCGTTGTTGGAGCATCACCATCAAACAGCACAGCACTAGCACAACTGCAGGACGATATGCAACGCAACAATGAGGGCGCCCGCACATTGTCCGCCAGATCCACAGCTGCCCCATGATTCAGTAGCGTATCTGCCACAGCTGCGTGACCTTCCCTGGCTGCCCAAACAAGGGGTGTCTGTCGCAACTGATTGCCAGATAAGTCGTCAGTCAGGAAACTCAATTGCACGCTGAACAGGTGGTGTATGCACACACAACTGGATATTGTCGGTGATAGTCCACGTGAAAAAGGGCGCCTGTAGTTTGATTAAAGTATCGAAGAATACTATTTCAAAGGGCAGGGAAGACTCTAACTTGAATGTAGCAGACCTCAATGGACACTATCCACATATTCATGGCTGGCTGCCGTTCGGTCATTACGAATGTGTGATAATGGCGAATGAACAGAAGACAGGGCCAGTTCACACGAATCAAGTTCATGGGCAGGCGACACCCTCATCCAGTAGTTAAGCAGCGAGATGGGAGTGCCACGTTCGCGCATTGCTTAACACATGCCTTTGAAACAGCATATTAATCCAGTACTTAAGCATCACAATGGCAGTTGATTCCTGACATTTTCAATTCCGTTTGCACCAGCCACGTCTGCCATGCTGAGCAAATGCATGGCCAATATTGAGCGCCATTTCGCTGTTGGAGCAGCACCATCAAGCAGCACAGCACTAGCACAAATGCAGGACGATATGCAAAGCAACAATGAGGGCGCCCGCACATTGTCCGCCAGATCCACAGCTGCCCCATGATTCAGTAGAGTCTCCGTCACAGCTGCGTGACCTTTCCTGGCTGCCCAAACAAGGGGTGTCTGTCGCAACTGAGTGCCAGATAAGCCGTTAGTCAGGAAACTCAATTGCACTCTGAACAGGTGGTGTATGCACACACAACTGGATATCGTCGGTGATAGCCCACGTGAGAAAGGGCACCTGTAGTTTGATTCAAGTATCCAAGAATAATATTTCGAAGGGCAGGGAAGACTCTAACTTGAATGCAGTTGGCCTCAATGGACACTATCTACATCTTCATCGCTGGCTGCCGTTCAGTCATTTACGAATGCGTGATGATGGCAAATAAAGAGAAAACAGGGCCAGTTCACACGAATCAAGTTCATGGCCAGGTGGCACCCTCGTCCAGTAGTTAACCAGCAAGATGGGAACGCCACATTCGCAAAACGCTTAACACACGCCTTTGAAACAGCACATTCAACCAGTACTTAAGCATCACAATGGCAGTTGATTCGTGACATTTTCAATTCCGTTTACACAAGCCACGTCTGCCATGCTGAATGAATGCATGGCCAATATTGATCGCCATTTCGCTGTTGGAGCAGTACCAACATGCAGCATAGCACTAGCACAAATGCGGGACAATACGCAACGCAACAACAAGGGCGCCCGCACTTGGTCCGCCAGATCAACAGATGCCCCATGATTCAGTAGAGTCTCCGCCATGGCTGCGTGACCTTCCCTGGCTGCCCAAACAAGGGGTGTCTGCCCAAACTGAGTGCCAGAAAAGTTGTCAGTCAGGAAACTCAATTGCACGCTGAACAGGTGGTGTATGCACAAACAACTGGGTATCGTCAGTGTTAGCCCACGTGCGAAAGGGCGCCCAAGAGTTTGATTAAAGTATCGAAGAATAATATTTCGAAGGGCAGGGAAGACTCTAACTTGAATGTAGTAGACCTCAATGGACACTATCTACATCTTCATCGCTGGCTGCCGTCCAGTCATTTACGAGTGTGTGATAATGTCGAATGAACAGAAGACAGGGCCAGTTCACACGAATCAAGTTCATCGCCAGGCGGCACCCTCGTCCAGTAGTTAACCAGCGAGATGGGAATGTCACATTCGCGCAACGCTTAACAATTGCCTTTGAAACAGCACATCCATCCAGTATTTAAGCATCACAATGGCAGTTGATACCCGACATTTTCAATTCCGTTTATACAAGCCACGTCTGCCATGCTGAGCAAATGCATGGCCAATATTGAGTGCCATTTCGCTGTTGGAGCAGCACCATCAAGCAGCACAGCACCAGCACAAATGCAGGACGATATGCAACGCAACAATGAGGGCGCCCGCACATTGTCCGCCAGATCCACAGCTGCCCCATGATTCAGTAGAGTCTCCGTCACAGCTGCGTGACCTTTCCTGGCCGCCCAAACAAGGGGTGTCTGTCGCAACTGAGTGCCAGATAAGTCGTCAGTCAGGAAACTCAATTGCACGCTGAACAGGTGGTGTATGCACAAACAACTGGATATCGTCGGCGATAGCCCACATGAGAAAGAGCGCCTGTAGTTTCATTAAAGTATCCAAGAATACTATTTCAAAGGGCAGGGAAGACTAACTTTAATGTAGTAGGCCTCAATGGACACTATCCACATCTTCATCGCTGGCTGCCGTTCAGTCGTTTACGAATGTGTTACAATGGCGAACGAACAGAAGACAGGGCCAGTTCACACGAATCAAGTTCATCGCCAGGCGGCACCCTCGTCCAGTAGTTAACCAGCGAGATGGGAATGCCACATTCGCGCAACGCTTAACACATGCCTTTTTGAAACAGCATATTCATCCAGTACTTAAGCATCACAATGGCAGTTGATTCCTGACATTTTCATTTCCGTTTACACGAGCCACGTCTGCCATGCTGAGCAAATGCATGGCCAATATTGAGCGCCATTTCGCTGTGGGAGCAGTACCAACAAGAAGCACAGCACTACCACAAATGCGGGACAATACGCAACGCAACAACAAGGGCGCCCGCACCCAGTTTGCCACATCCACAGATGCTCCATGATTCAGTAGAGTCTCTGCCACGGCTGCGTGACATTCCCTGGCTGCCCAAGCAAGGGGTGTCTCCCCACCCTGAGTGCCAGATAAGTCGTCCATCAGGAAACTCGATTGCACGCTGAACAAGTGGTGTATGCAGACACAACTGGATATCGCCGGTGATAGCCCACATGAGAAAGGGCGCCTGTAGTTTGATTTAAAGTATCCAAGAACAATGTTTCGAAAGGTAGGGAAGTCTCTAACTTGAATGTAGTAGACCTCAATGGACACTGTCCACATCTTCATCGCTGGCTGCTGTTCGGTCATTTACGATTGTGTGATAATGGCGAATGAACAGAAGGCAGGGCCAGTTCACACAAATCAAGTTCATGGCCAGGCGGCACCCTCGTCCAGTAGTTAACCAGCAAGATGAAAATGCCACATTCGCGAAACGCTTAACACATGCCTTTGAAACAGCACATTCAACCAGTACTTAAACATCACAATGGCAGTTGATTCCTGACATTTTCAATTCCGTTCACACAAGCCACGTCTGCCGTGCTGGGTGAATGCATGGCCAATATTGATCGCCATTTCGCTGTTGGAGCAGTACCAACATGCAGCATAGCACTGGCACAAATGCGGGACAATACGCAACGCAACAACAGGGGCGCCCGCACTTGGTCCGCCAGATCAACAGATGCCCCATGATTCAGTAGCGTCTCCGCCATGGCTGCGTGACCTTCCCTGGCTGCCCAAACAAGGGGTGTCTGCCCAAACTGAGTGCCAGAAAAGTTGTCAGTCAGGAAACTCAATTGCATGCTGAACAGGTGGTGTATGCACACACAACTGGATATCGTCAGCGGTAGCCCACATGAGAAAGGGCGCCAGGGGATTCATCTAAAATGCTGAAGAAAAAGAGCAACTTTTCGAAGGGCAGGGAAGACAATAGCATGAGTCTAGTAGAGCTCATTTCATCACTTGCTTGCTGCTGACCGTCAGCGTTTTTCAGCCCCTTGTCAGCTTGCATTGTTTGTTACAAGTTTGTTTTTACAAGTTCTCAGTGTCACAGGTCCCCCCCCCCCCAGTGTCAGTCCCTTGAAATTCTAGAGGGGCCGGGTCAGGCAAAATAGGCGTTTGGGGAGTGAAGGGGACATGCACACCAAATTATAACCTGCTCATTTAATTGCTTCTCAGATGTGGGAAATATGAATAGCCTTGTCCAAGAGGCGAATCGTTGGACAATGGAGATAGGGTGTGAGAGGGGGGAACCCGCCTTCTTAATTCTTCCACCCTCTGTTGAGGGATTCCAGATTGTATGGATGACTGAGCACAAACAACGAGTACAAATGAGTGCTATGTTTCAATAAATGCCCATAATCACTGCCAGGTGCAAGGGCTGTGCTCTGCTCTAGAGCAGACCAAAGATCTTTGGTGGCAAATGTATTCACAGTACAGAACAGCTATTTCTGTGCTGCAGTGCTACAACAGTGCTATTAACACAATGGATGTGATGACAGTGGATTCTGAACAAGCTGGGCGTTTGTACCTGGCTGGCCATATCAGCACATGCTCCATGGTTGAGTAACAGCTCCGCCACAGCTTTGTGACCTTTCTCAGCTGCCACAATAAGGGCAGTCTTGCCACCCTGAGTGCCAGAGAAAGCCATTGGCAGAAAAGTAAACTGCACAATGTATATGTCCGATAAAGTATTGTGTTTCACCTATGGTGGTGCACATGAAGAAGGGACTTCGGAATTCTAGTTAGTTTTGATAAGATGCTCCAGAATATAAAACAGATATTTGATTTTGGTACCATGTCAAAAATGGCAACAAATTAATGATCCCTGACAAATGAAACAACAGGGGTGACATAAAATATGAATGTGAATGTAATCGCCCCTCGTTCAACAACTTACTATTTTGAAATTAACATGCTGAGTGCTTAATGAATGCTAAGGGGAGGATAGGTCCTTGGCTTTGTGTGAAAATGACCATGTGCAACTCCTTTCATTCACGCTGCTGGCCACTGTCAGATGTGGTGGGTTTGGCAGGTTGCTGTCACTTGGCACAAGTCCACAGAACAGCACAGTGAACATCGTCGATGCCAACGAAAATGCCCATGTCCGGCATGGGGGTTTTGGCAGCCTGACGTCCCTTGGGAATAGTTCAAGCAGGGAGTACAACTGCTGGCAGTTCGAAGGACAACACAGTGGCACCCTGTAGCAACTGCTGGTCCAGTGAGTCGCAAATTGACATTCAGCGGATGAAACCACAGGGATGGACACAAGGTGACATTTGTTACTGCGAGATGCTCATGTGTTCAACAAGGCATTGACGATCGTGTACAGCAGGCAGTGGCAGTGGTCTGCACTCCTTTGTCAATCTGAGTTTGGCCCGCTATTGCATTGCACGAGTGGGCATCCAGGGGAGTGTTGCTGAGTAGGCAAGTACAATGGGGCAAGGGAACCTTGCTACATTGGGTGTGTACGGAGGGTGTTTGGCAACATCACACTGTAGTGAACAGCGCAAGGCCTAGGGCCAACTTCCAAGTTGGGTATGCCGGGCGGAGACATACTGCAGCAATCCAGCCAACCGGCAGCAGAACTTTCACAATACTGTTGGTTAGCACTATGTGCTGACCTCAAGTACTGCCAGGACATCAAAATAACCCATGACATAAAATGGCTGGGGGTTGGGGTGGGGCTGAGTGGTAACCATGCAGAGGTCAATATATTGTCTTCCCTCAGTCCATCCAACAGTTGTGCTTTGCTTTGGCAAATTCTGAACTTTGGTGATCGCGTTGACCATGTTTAGTTGAGCATTTTAGAAATGTGCACTTTCAGCAGGCACCAAATAGCACAAGCAGCAACACATTCACCAATTATTTAAGAAGCGTATGTCAATAGTACACTTGCCCAGAACTTAAGAAACACATGCACCTGCACGTGCACCCAGTCCATTGTTCAGCTTTGTCACAGAGCACAAGGAATTGAAAAAAAAACTGCATATAAATTTGGCAGTCATGAACACTGCTAAGGAAAGGTAGAGCCACATCCATGCAGACAGACAGCCGGACAGGTAGGTAGACGGTATTTGCCCCTACACCCTGTGATCTGAACAGGCTTGGCATCTGTGTGACAGTTGAAATGAACCAACACTGCCAACTGAAGAACGTTCACTGCTGAAGCATCAGAAGTACAGAGTCAACGGATCAGTGGGAGGGTGTGGCAGGGATAATCTTGGAGAATGACTGTCACATCTCAACAAGGGCACCTACAATGTGCCATTGAAGGGATCAACCCTGAGTATGACGGCTAAAGTCATGCATCCGTAAGGGGCGCTCATACAGTGCACCATTGTGGCAGCAGCAATGAAATTTCTCTGAGGCTGTGTACCTCGTCTTGGTAGTCAACTCTTGTCTCTGCCAAGTGGAACAGGGCCATCTCCTTCAAACCCCTCTCAGCTGCTAAATGGAGAAGCGTCCGGCCTCTCTGCACATGCACAACACAGTCATTGCTGTGCCAAAGTGTAAAACAAAATTAAAGATGTGGGTATCCTGTGCTAAACATCAAACTCCACGATTCTCAAGACATCAATGCCGAAACACAAGCGTTGACTGAGGCAGAAAGGAACAAGTGCCAGAAAACCAGAGAATACCTTAAAAAATCATGAAAACGGCATAGTTCGCCCAATTCACCTTTAACGATTCCCTAGTTTTGATTCGGTATCTTGAATAGCTCCACACAGTTGGTGCAGCTATTGCTGCTCAGCCAAGCAGTGGTTGATTTACCTCTCCTTTTGGCAAGTGCCCCAATCAGCTACTTTTCGTTTGCTTCCAATCTCAGGAACCAGCGTCCTTCAATTTGTGTTGGAAAATCTATGGACCTGACTGTGGGGCACTTGTGAGTCGCAACCAGCCGACATACCTGTCATTTGCGACAAGGACACATACACAGGTTGACATTGTCTGGATTATAGGAACACTACACAAACCATTGAATAATGATCGCTGCTGACATGCACACAATGGTAGAAGGACAGCCAACGCTGTTCACCCACTGCACCAACACCAACAGCATAAAAGAGTGCAGTGCTCTGTACAGTACCATGTACTTATTGCCATGAATTGGGTAACAAAGCAGCTTGGAGAGGATATCTTCTCCAGCACAAGACTTCTACTCCACTTTTTGGGTTGCAATGTGGCACACAGGTAGGATCATCTTTCCTCAGATTCAACAGCTTCAAGCAAAGGCATATCTACATGCCTTCAGAATATCTAGTCCACAATACACCAATAGTTCAGAGGCACAGAAGATTGCAGCCAACTAACATCAAGCCAGGGCTGCCACATGGCCCTTGCAGACACCAAGGAGATGATGTGAAGTATGTACCATAATCAGGTTGCTGCCACAATCCACAAGCCCTACCTGAATAAGGGACACAACAGAGCCTTCATGTGAACAACTGACAGGCAGGAGGGTTTTGTCCTTAGTGAGCACTTCAGGGCCCAAGATTACCCAATGGAAACACAATGGTATGCTATCAATGCTGGAGATCTTGCACTGGCAGTCCCAGCACTCAGACAATGTGCAGAAGGCTTCACCAGTGTTGACATATCACACAACATTGCACAGTGTACAAACATAATGACTGATGTCACCAACGTTGCGTGCAGCCCAAACGTTGTTGACCCCACCAAGTTTCACAAACCTGGATGGGCCATGGCAGATGCTTCCAAACCGGCGGCACCTCCACAAACACAAAACCACTCAGGACGCTCAAAAATGCTTCCACAGCTCCAGTGCACAAGGCAAACAACTGCTCATCACCAAGGACAGACTGCTGCCTTGTCGAATTTTCTGGTGTAGACACGCAACAGGTGCAAAAAAGCACTACTGTCTGACATTGTGCAATAGGTGAAAGGCAGCGCATCTTGTGTTGGCAAATGTGATCGAAATGGATTTACGGAAGAGCAGCAAGATGGTAAAGGGCAACTCCCTGTTACCTGGTGTGCCCCTGTCTCAGGGTACCATTTCCGTAGGCAGCTGTCCACATCTTGCATGGTTGGCCGTGCATTCAGATTTGGCAATGTGCATTTGGTCATCAATTCCAGTACCTCACACGGCCACTCCTGAAATTTCTCCTCAGGGATGACGAACGGTGGGCGTCCTGCCAATCTGGACTCCATGATCTCCGCTTCAGATGTCTCATGTCCATATGGGAGCTCCTCCATCACCAGCTCATACAGCAGACAGCCAAAGCTGAAAACGTCAGACTTGCTGCCAGGGATCCGTCCTTCATACACTTCCTTGGCCACCCAATGCCCAGTTGTTGAGAATGCAAGGCAATCCTTGTGCCAATGCTCAACTGGCAGTGGGAGGTCAGCGATCTTGACAATGGGGTCTTCCGGGTTGTCTCCAAAGATCAGAAAGTTGCTGCTCTGCACACGTCCATGGACCCTGCCTGAGGCATGAACCGAGTGCAGGGCTGCGGCAGCTTGGGACATGACCCTGAGCTTTAGCGCAATTATCTCCTCAACCGCAGTTGTCACAAGATTCAGATACCACTGCCTCAAGTTTGAGTTTGCTAAGTCCATAAGAATGCCTCCTGTTGTTGTGACTCCATGCAGTTTGACCATATACTGTGCATCGGATACCATGTCAAACACATCAGCATAGAACTTTTGAAAATCTTCCAGATCCAGCTCACGGCCGCTGTAGGGAACAATCTGCTTTCCTGCCAACTTTTTTGCATGCCATGTGACTTTGTGCACATTTTCACCACTGCGATCTTCCCAGATAATGTCTTGCTCAGGGATGACAGCCAGCACAAGTCTACATTCGTCCAACTTCTCTTTTTTGATATCCCATTGCTGTTTGGCAATTGCTCCATCATCGCCAAAATCGCATTGCTGGCCTTCAAAGACGTACTTGAGGCGCCTGTCCAGAATCTCCCTGTCCCGTTGAAAGCACTCTGTAGGCAACACATCTGGAAACTCCAAAGACCCAGGCAAATCCCAATATGAAAGAAACGACTTTGTGGATTTCAAAACATGTTCCACCTCTGCTTTGGTATCAACTGCCCTATACAGGACATCCACGTCAAGAGAGTTGTGCCACCTCACTAGCTGCTGAGCAACACTTAGCTTGTGCAGCAGCAGTGCCACACTCTGCCTCCATTTCTTTCCAGCAGCATGGGCAGGCATTCTGAAAGGATGAGCTGCAAGCATTCCCAAACTCCTTTGTAGAAAGGCCAGCATCCCCCTGCAGTACATCGTGTTAGTCGCCTCGGTAATGGCATTGATCGTCTGCTGAATCTGGTTCTCCAAGTTAGGCATCTGCAGCACAGCCCCAAGTCACCACCACCACAAGACAAAAGCCAATGATGGTAGGCAACAGGTAACATAGGACAACAAGCTGTCAGCTCTGAAAAGTATTACCGCATCATGTTTGCACATGTGTTTAAGATAGTTGCTTTGAGGCCACATTGACATCGAGCCTGCTTGCCAAAAGATGTCACGGCAATGTACGAATAAGTCTCTTGCAGGAACTGGATTTTCTTTTCCAGACAGGATCAGACCACTCAGCCAACTGCAAGCCATCATAAACCAGCTGTCCTTGCCTGAGGGTCAGCAGTGCAGGCTTCATCGAGCACCACCACATGCGGCATGTGCTGGTATGGCGCAAGCAGGTCTTTGTTTCCACCAATGTTCTCCATTTTTTCCCTGAAAATGCCAGCAGCAGTTTTGCAAGAGAAGTCAACCTGCCAGTGACAGAACCAACAATCAGAAACAAATGCGACATACATAAAAATCGAAGGAGGTCTGATACAATTAGAGCAGAAATGACAGAATCAAAATGCCAACAGAACACGATCCACCATACACCTTTTCTCTACTTACACACAAACTGCTACCTCTGCTGTTGCTGCATTTGTTATTGGTCAGGCACCCTTTCGAAATCATCTTTGACACCTGCAAAAGGACAGGTTGCAACTCAAACCACAAACCTCACCTGGACAGGGAATATAATGGAACCTTCTTGCGGAGGTTGCACAGACACAACTGCTGGGAGTTTACTCCAGAACGCTGCTGCAAGACGTGCGATGGTTGCTGCAATGGACTTCGAAAGCAAATTCAGATATCCAGGACTTTCAGCCACGTCTGAAAGATCCTGTTCTGTGAACTGCAAGACAGCTCTTTGCGAGGACAACTCCTGCAAAGACATTTCCTGCAGAAGCAAAAAGAATGTACCAATGAACATTGAATCAGAATTGTAGCAATAAAGTACATCCTGCCCAACATGGAATGAGGATCACGCCGGATAATGACTGAAATCTGAAGGTTACCAAAACATCAGACGAAAGCTAAAAACAACTCCATTGTCATCAACATCCCCTGTTGCCTTCCTCCACTGCACCCCGCAAACAAATGCAAAACATGTGCAAAAAAAAGTGGGCATGGTACACATAAGACTGGCATACACTACAATACGCAAATGATGCAAATAACTAGAATTCTCTGAGCTGTAGGGCAATTAACCCACCAGACTCATGGAAACAGGCAAAATATGTGCACACCCCCAGACGGGGGATTGGGGGGTTCTTTGAAGCAGGGAGCAAGACGTTTTGTTGATTGTATTCAGGACTGTAAAGTGACAGGCATTCTGAGGCTGGTGGGATCATCACCCTCTCTGCAAGCAGTGCACTCTTCCTTTGCCCTCAGCCCTCTCCCCTCCCCTCTTGCGCCCTGCTTTGCCTTAATTCTGCTGGCTACAGGTATGCAGCCAGCCATGCTATGTTTTTGCATTGCTTCTGGGACAGTGCGAGTGATCTCCATTGCAACTCCCCCATCTACTTAACAAGCGCACAGATCATCCAGAACATTCTCTGCTTCCAGCAATGCACTGTCCATCAATCACAGCAGGGTTGAATCGACATTGCCAACATTTGGCATGGGCCATTGTGGGCCAAAAAGGACCCCTACATCAGGCTGGAGGGCAGCATCCATAATCGGTGTGCAGTTAAGCGTCAATCCTAACCTGATTCCAGACAGCGCCCAACAATAGCAAAGGACCAACGATCATACTGGACAGGCTCAAACTTGGTCTGCCTTGTCTGCATCACGAATATATTTGAAGCAAGCTTGGCGATAAAGAACACACCTGTGGGGAGTTGTCTTGCATATCGGACTGTTGAGAACCCGCCATCGTGTCATCCACTCGCCGCCGGGCCCACTGCACCAGCACCACAACGACTGACTGCGCTATCAATCTTGACAACCCAACGCCCACCAGTTACCTGTGGCGTGAATTTGGGCTGCTGTTGCAGAAGGTTCGCACTCAGTCAAGCTGGGAATTCAACTGTTCGAACAGCAACACACCGGTAGGAATGTTCTCAACCTCACAACACAGTCGACAAGAAGGGATGCAACGCGGCCCCTCGACAGTCCCTTTGGCTGCAGGCAGGTGTCCCGGGTCATGTCGGACAGGATGCTGGTGGTTTTGACGGAACAGGCTGTGGCAGCTTCCAAGATCACACCTGCTCGCGACGGGCTCGCCTTCAAGTCAATGGTGCTCTTCGCCTGTGGCCCACTGTGAGCTCACTGAAAACACACCACACATGCAGAACGCTGGGTCAAACGCAGGGCGATAGGGATATTCACGACCGATCATGACGCGGACCCACCGAAACTCCAAGCTGTCCAGCCGACGTGCTTCCAAGGCCCCCATCGGGTGAGGGCAGGGAAACTACACCAACTGGGTGTCGCAAACCAATCCCTGCAAGCCCTCCGGATAGAGTTAAACGGCCAGCCTGCCACACGAGCCAAAACCCCAAACAACCCACAATTGTCGTATGAGCAAGCGCATTGTCAACTGCACCAATTGCCGCCGCGAATCGCTCAAGCACGCGGCTTTTCTCTCTTCCATCCGAGCAGCCGACATTCGAAGGGAGGCGCGGATCGCAGCCCATGGATTTAGACGTTGGCTCACCGGCTATTGAGGGCTGTCGCAATTACGCCAGCCTGGTTCGCTGCTTCGCATGGGCCAGTTGTCCGCTGAACAGCCGCGTGGGAGAATGCTTCTGCCCAATCCCTCGCTGGCTGCTGCCAGTGGAACTCTCGGCAGCACTGGAACGTCCACCCCGGAGCCACGGCCCTGGGTGACGAAGCACAACCCTCGCCGGGTGGGATTTGTGCACCAACCACCGTGTGGTGCCTCGAACATGGCCTCCCACGGCCGATACAGGTTGACTGTGCCACACGGTCAAGATGCGGTCAGATGCGCCAGCAAACTAATCGGATAACTGTGGATGAGCCCCCTTCGTTCTTCGCAGGCTGGTCAAAGCCCTGGCCAGTCCCACTGCAATGCGAGCATCTTCCGGGACAAGCTGACACCATCTTCAACCGTCGCTCACGGTGAAAAGTGTCGTGGTCGGTCAGTTACCGCAAGGGCCTTGCGGAAGCAGTTTCCGGACATCCTAAGCCCTAAAAGCCACTGACCCACTGACCGGCGTTGTCCTTGTCAGCACAAGAAGGTGGGATCCACACGAAATGACAAGAGGGACTAAAATATTCTCACGCGAGGTCCGCTTCGAGATGAGTGCATGACGTGTCCACGTCGGCCCGCTTGCACTCTCTGGACCTCTGTTAGAGATAAGGTTGGCGTCGGGCGAAACCCCGAAAAGGGTATTGGGGACACCGTCCTGCGGCTTGACCACATTGCGCGGTAGGCGACGTACCTCCGCGCAACTTCCACAGCGATGGAGGCGGGACTTTGCTCGAGGGTGTCGCTGTTGAGGACGCCCAATTGATTGGGCAGGCAAACACAACGTCGTGGTGGCTGTGAACTCAGGGGCTGTGCGATTCCTGCTCGTGCATCGCTCTTTCCCGGGGAGCAACAAAGCGCTCATAACATAGACCTTGGGCACACCTCATGTTTCAACTCCTTTTCTCTGGGAACCGTCTGTGTGCGTTACACAGACATAAGAGGGCATAATGAACTGGTTGGCTGACGGAAGAAAAGTCATTTGATCTGTACATGTCTTCTATCCCCTGTGGGGTATGATGGTATCTGCGTCAATGTACTGAGCGAAGCTACGTCGGCATAGAGAGCCATGCTGCTCATCAACTGAGTGGACGCGATTAGCATGGACATAGTGCCTTGACTGCGATGACGAGGTCGACTGCAATGCAGTGTGATGACATAGTAGAACTGAGGAGAATGACCTTGGTCATCAGTTGATTGGATGCGGCGCAAAATTGCAACAATTTTGAATGCGTTGACTGCGTGGAACGCTGTTGTTCAGCATTCATAAAATATTGAGGGAGCGAGTAATGTTGACATGCAAACACACACAGTGTGTGTTGCATACAATGTATATGAACTGAGCACTCCAGCAGCAGATATTCAGCGGCGCATTTTTCCATTGGGAAAAGTGCCAATGCACCCAACAGATACTGGCAGAACTTATCGAGTTCTGTCATGCTTAAGAAAGACACTATTTTGAATTTGGTACGCTTAGCGTCAATTCGACACTAAGATCAGGCCCCGCCCCACCCCCAAACCCCCTCCTTAGTGTCAATCCTTATTTCGATGTCAGGAAAACTCGGTTGCATTACCTAACAATGTGAGACAGCTTTAAAGACAATCTTGAAGGAAGAAACAACCAAATTGTAGCGATTACAGTGAGTTGAAAAATTAGGACGCCAAAAGCCATGATAGGCGATGGGAGCAGCCCGAAAGTCTGAAAATTGATCAATTCTTAGGACTTCCTCGAAGGCTTAAAGTTTGAGGGAATTTTTGCAACAAGCCGTAAATTATTTGCCGCTGATCTTCGGCGCTCTTGTGCATCTTTCCACCTTGTGTTTGATTTTAGTGCAGTTACATACTATGTATTAATAATATCTTACCGTAAATGGCTGGACCGCCCCCCACCAATCACCTTAGCGTCAATTTGACGCTGACCGTACAGAATTCAAAACACTGTCGTACCTTAATAAGCAGCACATGCAGTAGCATACAAGCCCAGTTCTCAAGCAACATACTTTCAGCGTCAGGTCGGGAGTTGGGGGGTAGCGGGAGTCCAGACCCGTGACGCTGAAAATCACGCAATTGCCACAAAACCGACATAAGCTTGGGCATTTCAAAAATGCTGCTGATCAGTGGCAAACAACTCACGACGTGCTCCAATACCCTCCTCAAGCGCCCACTATTTGAGGAAAGCCTCGTATTGTCTCGATTAAGAGCCTTCGGGGCTGCTGCCATGGCTGGCTGTGGCTTTGGGAGTCCCATTTTTTAGACCCCGGACAAGCGCTGCAACTCTGCCTATTGTATTCCTCAAAGCCATTTTGAGATTTGCACCACGCTATTAGGTAATGGTGCCGAGTCATCGTGGCACCCACACAAGGGCTATTGCTAAGGAGGGGGGAGGGAGGGGCATGATCTAAGCGTCAAATTGGGGCTAAGCACAACCAAGTAAACATAGCGTCCCCCCCCTGGTGCCAAAGCGGTTGAGGCACTGCGCCTGGTGCAAGCCGCATCAACTTGGTCGGCAGCGTACGTCGCTCAGTACGTCGGTGCACTCGATGCGGTGGACATGGCCACCAAACTACGTCAATTCGCATCGCACGAATTTCGGAAAGCAATATCTCGATTTTCGTATTGATGGCGCCCAACGGGCGCTCAGCTGAGACTCCGATAACGTTTTCAATTTCAATCCTTATTTTGTATTCCTGGCAGCATTCGAAAGCTCTTGCGTTGGCCGGCTGGATTGTCGCATCGTGTCTCCACCCAGCGCACCGGCTGAGTTTGGCTACGAACATGGTGATCCTTACCAAAGCGTGTCGCCACCAAACAGCTTTCTTTCCCACCCAATTTAACAATGTTCCCTTCCCCCGCTGCGTTTGCGCGCTTCGAAGCACCTCCGTCGAAGCCTAATCCCACACATGGCAATTACCAGTCAAGGCTGGATTGAACAAAAGACACCGGCCATTGCCAATTTCAGCTGCGCGTGATCGTGAGCGCTAACACAGACCAGAGCGTTCTGTGGCGCATGCGCCTCCCACAACGATCCATATCAACTCGTGCCCCTGCTCGCCGCCGCTTTTGCCCAGTGCACCCTCGATGTCGCTCATCTGCCGAAAGTCAATTCGTGACCCGCTTGGCTGGCAATGTCTTCTTCCAAAGTAGAGAACAAAGCATTCAGAATGGGAAAATTACGGCCCGTGTCCTGGCAGCGTCAGCGAGGGATGAGGCTTAGCGTTTGAACTATGCTTGCTTTGAGCTGTGCTTCCAATAGCGACAAACTCACTCTGCAGACATTACACGATTGTAGTGTCGCTTGATGCTCTGTTATCTTGCAACGCTTGCCTTCGTCATCGCACATCCCAGAACTCTCTTCATCTTTCAAATTCAAACCCACACGGCAGCGAGGGGATTTGTTGCTGGTCCAAAGCCGTTGCTTGAACAAAAGCTCGGAGTTATTGAGCAGCTATCCCAAATGGCAGAAAGGAGGCCAATTTGCCCCGGAGGGTGTATTTGCCAAATGTTTGCATTCGTAGTATGGAAAGCGGCTTTTGTCATGGTCTTTACGGCGTAAACACTTTCCTATTTGCGGCTATTTATGCGTAAAAATTGTTTTTGAACTTTTGCGCGTAAACAGCCATAAAAATGGGTGAAACTTGGCCCTGTGCACCTAAAGACAGTACATACTGACTCAGGAAGTGCGGTAAGTGGCAGCTAGAAGCGCTGAAGTATGCGCAAAATGATGTTTTACTGGGCAACGTTGTTGCCCTAGCGGGGGCGTGGTGTGCGTTGTGTTGCCAGTGCTGGAGAGAGTGGAGGATTGATCGCTGAATGGGAAATCATCATGTAATCTGGGCGTATCTGCGAGCCGCAAATAAGCATAAATATGACAGTAAAAATGGCAGTTTCTCTGTTTACGCGTTTTTACACGTAAAAACGTAAACGCAGAAATGGAGTCGTAAACGTAAGGACCAGGCCTGATTTATGAAGGCGTCGCAGCGAGAAGGTGTCGGCTGCAAGCCCGACTGACTCAGAACTATCGCATCGCACAAGGGACGATACGAACGTCGGAGATGTGATGTTCTCCATCTTTCTGCCATCGCCCTAGTGCGCACCCGAGAATACGGCCAAGGAAAAGGAGTTTGGGTCAAGGTTAGAGGCCCATTACGTCGTTATTCTACCATGATATTATGGTTCGCGCTGTCAGCGCGGTCAACGACTTCAACGTTGTCAACACGGTCAACATGTTCAGCACGATCAAAATACTTTAGGCATTCCAGGCCGCATCGGCTCAGTTGATTGCCAAAGTTGTTCGTTGCATCAGCATAGCTTCATCATCATCATCACGATTTTTTACAGAACAAGGCAATGAGGTAGGGATCAGGCGGGGAGCGTGCGGTCAACGTGGCCTGCGCACCACGTCCTTCATCAAATCGCACAAAAGCACTTGGGTGGCCAGCATTCCCCAATGCCCACAAGTGAGCTGTCACCAGATTGGGAGTACAAGGTCTCGACTTTCCCGAAGATGCTGGGCACTCTGGGTTGGATGGATGACCAACTGACTGACCGTCGAGACAAGCAGGCCTTCGAGGCCTTAAATTCGGAGGATAAGCATCAAGTTCGGTGGAAGGTTCCACAGCAGGGCAGTCGATTCGCATGCCTTGAGTCCCTGGCTTCGCAGGGAGGGACACTCCGGCATTGCTGCAGTGTGTGTGCTCATGACGCCTGCACAGCATGTGCTCAATGAGCCCAACATGACACGTTTTCGAATTCCGTGCAACACTTGCATGAGTGGCCCGATGTGACACCTGGAACTTGCTGGCATTATGACAAGGGTTGCATAGTTGACCGGCATGGCAGTGCTCTGTAGAATCCATCACGCCTTTGAAGACCCTGTGGAACCTGTTTGGAGAACACGGCTAGCGGGTATCGGCCTGCTCCTGCCCTTCCTATCTGCCGCTCTGCCCTGCCGTCCTTTAGTGTTCCACAAGCTGGATGCGAATCTTAGATATTCCTGTATTTCTACTTCTGCTGCTGATGTGAGCATAGCCCGCTGATGCAACACATTTGCACATTCCGCACGACTGCACACACGGAGTGCATTTGTGTCCTTTTGCTTACCGTTTCATTCTTACCGAACTGAACAAACGCGTGTGCAGTCGTAGAATGACAAAGGGCCCGTTGGTTGCCACTGCTCCACCAGCGCATTCTGTCATGCATGGTGTCTGCACAGCTGGCTGTGTGATTCATTGTCCACACATCACACAGCCAGCAGTGGAGCAGGACACGTGTTCACGAAACCCGAAATGGCGTTTTGCTACAAAGTTTACATCGAAATGAGCATTATTGGGGACGGTCTGGGCACCACTCGCCCCGCATCGAATGCCTCGCTCTTCCACGGCGAAACGTTGCATCTTGTTGCACAAGCGCCAAGACACACAAAGTCGAGGTCCATTCACCAATCGAGGCGATGATACCCGCCCATGGCAGCTGCCGTATCCCAGCAGAATGGCACAAAACATGTATCTCGTTCCATTATCAAATGCAGGTTCAGAGCTCATTCGAATGAACGAGTTCGCATGCCCGAGTCACCCCTTTGAGCCACATTCACAACTGGTGCCCTAAGCTATGGAGCCCGCACGCCTTGTCTTACTTTATCTATATCGCATCCATGGGTCGCAATTTTGCCGGACGACACCCGAGCACACTGTGCACGAGAACCTACTCGAGCGCGGTGCCCAGCCTGCCCAGTGCTTCGTTTTCAGCAAAGGAATAGGCCCTACATCAAAATTCGCACAGTATTCCTCGCACAACCCCATAGTCCCCAAACCCTGACCCATACCGATCGCCACGCCCAGGCGAGGCCAGTCCCCTGCACGCACGGTCTCTCTGCTGCTGCACTTCTTTCCAGCCCGACACGCCCGCTCCCATCCCGACACTGCGCCGACATACAACCCACACCCACCCACCCACACACCCCACACGCGCACACCTTCGCCCGTCACTACATTGCCACTGCAAGGTAGCACAGCGATGGCACTCGTTTTTGGCTGCTTGAAGTGTTCTGCTTTTTGGACTTTGTAACAAGGAATTACACGCCTTTAAAGGGACTGGGAAATTTTCCAGTCCCTACTCGTCAGGCAACCTGACCGCCTCCGCCAGTATGTCCAATATGTCCGCCTCGGGCTGCATGTCGCTGTCCATCCTCATCACCAACGCGTCGTTCATTTCGGTTGCCCCCCGGGGCAGGCCGACCCGGTACCACGGGTGCGCCTGGATCTCCCGAATGGACGGCCTCTCCTCGGGGTCCTTCCGCAGCAGCATGGCGACCAGGCCCTCGGCCTGGGCGGACATTGCGCCCTTCGGCACCGCGTAGTCAACGTCGACAATGCGCGTCAGCACGTTCGGGCTGCTGTCTTCGGGGTCGCCTGCGCCCTCGAAGGGGTAGGCGCCCACAAGCAGGACGTACAGGAAGACGCCGCAGGACCAGATGTCCGCACGCTTGGCGTCGTAAGGGCCGCCGCGCGCGGCGCACACCACCTCCGGCGCGTAATAGGGCCGCGTGCCCACGGACGACCTGGCCGGCGAGTCCTCGTCCCCGATGGACCAGCCAAGGTCGCAGATTTTCAGCAGGGGCCACTCCCTATCGTCCAGCAGCGCGTTCTCCGGCTTGATGTCCCGCGACGCCACCCCCATCCGGTGCAGATAGTCCAAGCCTATGATGAGCTGCTGGAAGAACCAGCGTGCCACCTCCTCCGACATTCCCCGCCTCTGCACAAACGTCAGCAGGTCACCCCCAGGCGCGTACTCCAGCACTATGCCCAGGTACCTTGTCGTCAGGAACACCCTCTTGAACAGGATCACATGGTGGTGCAGCAGGGGACGATGGTTGAAAACCTCCCGCCACACGTTCTTGTTGATGTTGGGGCCGCGCAGCAGGAATTTTATGGCCACCTTCTCGCCGGTGTCCCTGTCCAGCGCCAGCTGAACGAAGGCGAAGCCGCCCGAGCTCAGGTCCTTCAGCCTCTTGTACCGCGGGTGCCCGGCCAGGGGCTCCTCCCTGCGGTCCATGTGGGTCCCCGCCCATTCGCTGAGTCTCCGCCAACCAACCTGACCACTACACGCCAAAAACCATTCTGACAACCATGCTCGCCAAAAGAATGCTCGAAAACAATCGGGTCAACGAACTTGAATCCCTTTCTGGCCTGCCCGGCCTCTGAGAACGTCTCCCTCCCTCCCTTTGTGGCGTCAAAGCTGTGCCTCAGAGCGTTGGGCGGCAGATAATGCGCTGCGAGCAAACGGGCGGCGCGTTTCAGTGTTGGGCAGCGGGCGGCGTGGCCGGGCTCCCGCCGCTCAACTGTTTTGGCCCCGCTTGCTCGGATACTGCCGCGGGCTGCTGCTGGGTAGTGCTTATACAGTCCGGGTGCAGGGTGCCGCTGACACCGCCAAAATGCCGCGGGGATTCCTCGGGGGCGGCGGCCCAGGGTGGTCGCTCCAAGAAGGGGTGGTTCGTGGCATGGCGCCAGGGGGGGGGAGGGTTCGCCTGGGGGGGTGCAGGCTTGGGGCGTCGGTTTTGGGGAATGGATGATGGCGGCAATTGCTCGCCCACTCACATTAATATTAATGCGACTCAGCAAATTTGGCAACTCACGGAGTGATTTTTGGACTCAATCCGGGGAAGCCCCAACAACAAGAATAGAAGCAAAGCACAAGAACCCAGCAAACTGCAAGAACAGCAAGCAAAGAGCATGGAACGTAGGACATGGAAGATAGAACGCAGGACATAGAACACAGAAAGCAGGACACAGAACATAGAACGCAGGACATAGAACATGGAACATGGAACATAGAACACGGAACATGGAACATGGAACATGGAACATGGAACATGGAACATGGAACATGGAACATGGAACATAGAACACGTAACACGGAACATGGAACATGGAACATGGAACATGGAACATGGAACATGGAACATGGAACATGGAACATGGAACATGGAACATGGAACATGGAACATGGAGCATGGAGCATGAAGCATGGAGCATGGAGCATGGAACATGGAACATGGAGCATAGAACATAGAACATAGAACATAGAACATAGAACATAGAACATAGAACATAGAACATAGAACATAGAACATAGAACATAGAAAGAACATAGAACATAGAACATAGAACATAGAAAGAACATAGAACATAGAACATAGAAAGAACATAGAAAGAACATAGAACATAGAACATAGAACATAGAAAGAACATAGAACATAGAAAGAACATAGAACATAGAAAGAACATAGAACATAGAAAGAACATAGAACATAGAACATAGAAAGAACATAGAACGCAAAACGCAGAACGCAGAACGCAGAACGCAGAACGCAGAACGCAGAACGCAGAACGCAGAACGCAGAACGCAGAACGCAGAACGCAGAACGCAGAACGCAGAACGCAGAACGCAGAACGCAAAACGCATAACATAAAACATAAAACATAAAAAACAAAACATAAAACACAGAACATAAAACATAGCACATAGCACATATAGAACAAAAACCAAAGAACAAAGAACCAAGAACCCACGGCTTAGCCAAAGACTGGGGGACTGATATGCCCTCGTTTCGTTGATGACAATAGTGTCAGAGATTTTATTTAGTCAGCACATGGGTCCTTGACAAACATTCCAATATGTCAACAATACTTCAAAAGTGTGATCCGTGGGTTTGGTGTGATCATGTCGCGGCAACCTCACTTGAATGAGCACGTCGAAAAAGCGAGTTGGACGGCATGTACCAGGGAAACACTGCTTTGATTCAGTATCCGTAACGTCGAATGGACGCTAAGTGAAAGGGGCGTGGGGGGTGGAGGGGGTGGACGCTCAGAGACTACATAATTGCGCTGGAATCAAAATAAATTGGGATGATGCACAACAACCGTCGCTGATCAGTGGTAGACAGCTCATTATTTCTTCCAAAACCTCCTATCTTTCAATTTTCGAGGAAATCTTCAGAGTGGATCAAGTTACAGCCTTCCGGTATATGCTCCCATCGCCCAGCGTGTCCTTAGCATCCCATTTTTGAACCCACAAAAGCTCGCTACATTTTGGCTGGCTTTCCCCCTTGAGTATATTTCGAAGTTGTATCGCATTGTTAGGTTACGTTAGGTTATGTTACTGAGACATCCTGGCATCGAAACAAGGATTGCTCGGCTGAGCATCCATTTAACGCTAAGCATACCAAATTTAAACAGCTGGGTAGCGGCAGTTTTGTCCAGCACATTAGCAATACCTTTGCAGTGACACATCTGCCCAGCACATGAGAAAGACATTGGAAGGGTCATGTTGACATTTCCCAATTCCGTTCTACACGATTCAGATATAAAATCCGTCACGCTGGACGCCTGCACAAGGGTGCCAATCTTGACAGCAAGGTTTCCCAATTAGCTGCGTGTTGGGAAAGTCAACTGCACGCTGAATATGTTCAAATGTTTTTGGCCTGTGGTAGCTCACAAGAAAGGGACACCTTGGGCGGTGGTTCAACAACTGGAAGAATAATGTAACGGAACGAAGCTCTGAAATATTTTCGATGGATATGCCAAATGCCTAAGGACTGTTACTGAAGCAAAACACTAGCGCTTGTGTCAATAATCTCTGCCCGATGGAACACAAAAGGGCTAGCGCCACATGAAAGTGCATGCCATGTCCCTTGTTTGACATTTTATCATTTTGAATTTAGTATAATTTGCGCTCAATGCAAGTTAAGGGAGGAAGGTGTCTACAGTGTGGGCGCTAAGCGATAACAGAAATGTACAAAGATAAAACAAGAAAGGTGAGGGGTGACCAGCATTCACAAGAAGCGATAAGGACCCTGAGCAAGTCCCTTTCACTGCCGCTGCTGTGCCGTGCCAAACATTTTACTTTTGGAAACTTGTTGTCGCTGGGTACAAGGTAATTGGAAAGCATAGCGAGGGTCCTCGATTCCAGCAAATGCGTAGACTGATGCCCATGGGCCAAGCCCATAGACAAGGTAGCGATCAGGGCGTATGGTCTGCTGATGAGCAAAGGACTGCGAGTTGAGAGGCACAAACTTCGGCCATCAGCAACAGCCTTTGGCGTTCGAGGTCTTCCAGCAATTGCTAGCCCAGCAAGTCATGACTTGGCGATCAACAGATGGAGCAATGTTGGGACACGAGCTGACATGCGTTGCTGTGGGACGCTCATGCCCAACAAGTCATTGAATATCACGTGTGGCGGGCAGTGGCAGTGGTCTGTGTTCCTTTTCCGATACAAGTTTGGCGGGCAATAGCACTTGCATGAGCGGGCGCGTAGCCGCCACGCACAATTTGTGGTGCGGCACCAGTAGAAAACAGCCTGTTTGCGATGCCCATTGAGACGCCATTTGACACAAACTGAAGCCATCACAGCCATTTTTATGCCGTCGCAATCACTGCGACGGCATCGTTTTGTGTCAAAATAGCATCGCAGTTGGCATCGCAGACATGCTGTTTTCTGCCAGTGTTTGGGCGGATAGTGAATGGTCCGATACCCAGGCCAACTAACTGCATTAATGCGTTTGCCCAGTACATTATTCAACCTCATCGCACTGCACAACAAGGGATTCAAAAAGATATACATCAATAATTCGGAAGTCACAAACACCGCGATGCGTACGCAGAGCCAGATTCTCAGCAGATGGATAGTCTGACATATAAATATACGATATACGACATTCACCCCTATATCCTTGTGGCTGGGACAGACTAAACATTTGTGAACACTTGACACAATCGTTTCTGACTGAATCATGGTCAACACTGAAGTGTCGGAAGTCCATGGAGCCAGAGTACCAGTGCCAAGTTGTGGTACGGGTCCTGCTGGAGAGTGACTCTGACATTTCAACCGACCACAACCAGGAACCCTTCTTTGTTCCACGGAAGTGTTAAAATACCGATTAATTGGGCAAGTTTTGTGCCATGAAGAGACACACATGGGCACCATGATGCTGTGGTACAGGACGCCATGCACTAGTAGAAACAGCATGCTTGCGATGCCATTTCGACACAAGTTGATGCCATCACAGCCACTTTTTATGCCATCACAATCACTGTGATGGCATCATTTTGTGTCAAAATGGCATCGCAGCTGGCATCGCAAACATGCTGTTTTCTACCAGTTATGGTGGCAATGGTCAGTACCTGGAATTGTCTCCGATGCTTCACGCTTTGTCCTGACAGTCGAATCTTGTCCCCGTCAAGTGAAACAGGGCCGCCTCCTTCGAACCTCTCACAGCTGCATTGTGGAGAGGGAATTGCACCCTCTGGGTAATACACAAGACAGCCAATGTGAGCTCAAGACAAAGCAAAATGCAAGGTGTGCTTTATCTTGTACACCACATTCCGGATTCTGAAAATCAGTGCAAACATCACACCAGACGCAATAGCCCTGACAGAGGCATGAATGTGCCTCAACCCAAGAGAGCGGTCCAAAGATCATAGGAACATGCATAGCCGCCCCAGTGCGCATTTCTAGATTCCCTAACTCGCCTGCGTATCCTAAGTGGCTCTACACGGTTGATGCAGCTGTCTCTGTTCAGCAGCGTTTGATCCACCTCTCCTTTCGGGCTGCGGACCACTTCAGCTACTGCTAGTTTGCTTTTAGCCCAAGCAAACAGTATCTTGCCATCTGTGTTAAGGAATCTACGGACCCGAATGTGGGGCGCTTGCAAGCTCCACTAAGCTAACATGCCTTTCCTTTGAGAAAGGATGTATCAACTGGTTGATATCTGAACTTCTGAAACATATCATGGACCACCGAAAACTGACCCCAGCCGATTTGCAAGCAATGGCAGAAATATACCTGTAGGTATACTAGTAGACTACTGGCAATGCAGTGCACCAATGCAATCAAGCCACAAAGAGCACAGTGCTTTGTATAGTATATTGTACACATATTCATGCCACATGGCTACCAGATCAGCCCAGAGAAAATACCCTCACCAGTGCCAAACAGATTTAAATGCAGCTTGCATGTGGCTAGTTCACAAATATGTAGGATTCTTCTTTTTTTCA